TAAAAAATAGAAAGATAGACAGATAGATAGACAGAGATAGATAGATAGATAGAAGTGACAGACAGACAGACAGACAATGAAAGAAAGAGAATTCAGTGAAAGTGAGAGTAACGGAGATGTGGGTCCCTCCCTTATGTAACGATTCTGACACATTCCGGGCCGATGCAGGCGCCCGGAACCCGTGCTAATGCCTGACGTCTGAGTAACACTGGCACGTTATTTTTTGGCCCAAAATCTGGAAAAATGGAGCAAACAGAAAAAGAAAATTAGGTATTCGAATGTTTAAATTATTCTGGGATATATGCATGTTTTTGTGAAAAGGCATTTATAGCTTTTAATTGTTTTTTATTTTTTTTCTTACTGTGGCGGTCTGCATATCAAAAACTCAAAAAAAGCTATTGGTTTTTCTTGGTATTTACAATAGTAGATAGTGTATTCCGTATTTCCAACAACGAATCATATATTCGAGAATTTTGATATCTCATTAATACTTATAACGATATTTACCCCACACTAATAACTCCTGCTGTTCTTATCAATCACAACTAGGAACCACATATCCATATCATTCATAACTGTTATTAACAAAACCCACATATTCAAATTTTTCGTTACCTCTCACAATGTACAACTAACATAGGCCTACATAACCATGACCTTGTATGACCTTAGATACCTGCCAGTACTACGGAGATGCTGTATGTGGCCTGACCTCGCGAAGGTACTGTATCGGTTCGGATGAAGATGCCACTACATATGCGTGTCGCTGTATGGACGGCTATGATGTTGTTGATGGCGAATGTCAAGGTAAGTTTGGTGTCATACACATTTTATTTATTTATTCCTATTATTTATTTCTGTTTATTTATTTTTGGCGAGCGTTGTTTTTTGTTTCTTTATTTTGATGAGCGTGTATGATTTGAGACTGTGAATCTAACGTAGGATAATGTATATCCGGTTTTGGATATTTAGAAACGTAAGTTGTGTTTTCATTGCTTAAGTAAAGAGTTGTACAGCTTAATGTTATTTTTCTTCACAGATAGTTAAACAATAACGAAACATATTAAGTGGAATCACACTTATCCCGCAACACACACACACACACACACACGTACAAGCACACACAAACACAGCACACACGCCCCCTTCTCCACACACACACACACACACACACGCTCCTCTCCTTCCACGTACACACACACCATGCACACACACCACACACACACACACATACACCCCTTCCACACACACATACACCGCTTCCACACACACACATACACCCCTTCCACACACACACGCCCTCCCCCACACCCAGACACACACTCACAGCTCCTTCCCGTCTCTCCCCCAGACGCGGACGAGTGCAAGGGCGGGCCATGCAAGGAGAAGGAAACTTGCATCAACACACCTGGCAGCTACAAGTGTGTGTGTCAGAGCGGTTATATGAGAAACCACGATGGACTCTGTGCTAGTGAGTTACCATATGTGTTCAGGTTTACTCATCGTGTCCTATATTATGTGTGAGATAATCGTATATATAGGTGAGTTAGATAAAAACGGCGATTCTGATGAGTTTATCTTTATATCTATCTATTTATTTGTTTGTTTTGTCGCATGTTTCATGGCTGCATCTGTTCTCTGGTATTTAAAGAAACATAAACAGGATATACTCTATACCCTAAAACACAGCAGAAGAATTTATGAGAGAGAGAAGAAAATTTCAATAAACCCATATATTTATCAGTTTTTCAGTCGCATTTATTGCCATAAATAGCACATACCCACAAATCACAATTCAATTAAAAAAAAGAAAGAAAAAAAGGAAGAATAACATCAAAATTGCCATCACCCTTCAACAGATGTGAACGAATGTGCGAGTCCGTCCTTACACGACTGCGAACACGTGTGTGAAGACGCTGAACCTCCGCTGCGCTTCTCTTGCACGTGTTATCCTGGGTACACGTGGCAGGCTTTCACGCGCTCTTGTGTTATTGGTGAGTTATCGTGTCAGTTTTCTCTCTCTCTCTCTCTCTCTCTCTCTCTCTCTCTCTCTCTCTCTCTCTCTTTCTCTCTCTCTCTCTCTCTCTCTCTCCTCTCTCTCTCCTCTCTCTCTCTCTCTTCTCTCTCTTCTCTCTCTCTCTCTCTCTCTCTTCTCTCTCTCTCTCTCTCTCTCTCTCTCTCTCTCTCTCTCTCTCTCTCTCTCTCTCTTTCTCTCTCTCTCTCTCTCTCTCTCCTCTCTCTCTCTCTCCTTCCCTTTCGTGAAGTAGAAAAAGAGAAAGGGAAGGTGAGGGTGTTTATGTGAGACGCCATTTTATCTCTTGTGTGCTTTAGATATAGATATGATATAAATACTTTTGTTTTATAGAGTTCCTCCCCTTTCAGAAACAATAAGGAAAGAAAGAATGCTCGAAAACAAAGAGAAAGCAAACGAAACAAAACAAAAGACACTAATCAATTTTCATTCATGCGGATAATCAGATGATATACATATCATCTCTTT